GTCCCCACCTCCCTTTGCTGTGTCCTCAATTCCCCCTCTTTATTGTACCTGGGTTCACCCACCCCCTTGCCCCATACCTTTGCTGCTTTTCCATCCTTTCTCCCATCTCCATCTTGTGCTCTTTTCTCCTTCCCCAGCTGGGACAGTCCGCTGTGAACCCTTCATTTTACAAATAGGAAAGCTCAGAGAGAAGAAAGTAACATGATGTGAATGACAGAGCTGGAAATGGTCCCTGGGGCTCCTGATTGATTCTGAGCTCAGTGGGTGGGGGCGGCATCCCTGAGTGAGAAGGACTCCTTGGGTGGCCCCTTTTACTCTGTCCTCCCTTTCCCTGATTTCTCACCACTCTTTGAGATGCTGATGCAAAATATAGACTCTCCTTCCCAAAAGAATGACCCTTCACACACATTTGGCATATGGCTTCTGGGGCTGGAACCCCAACTACCCCCACCTCCATGTCCTCCCTCCTGTCCTTACTTCTTAGTGGCCTTGCTAGATACCTTCTTGCTGCTGGGAATGGCCTTCCAGATGCCACAGCAACTCCACAGCCAGCTGGGCTCAGTTTTCCTGGCTGAGGGTGGGGGTGAGCTCAGAGGGTCAGCTGGAATATACATGTATGGAAAAGAATCCAAGTGGAATGAGCAGAGGGATCAGAGGTCAGGGTGATGACTTGGATTGGCCTTTGGGTTCAAGTCTGGGTGGTGTCAGGGATGTAGAGAGATTTGCTGGAGGGAAGGGTTGTGCCCCCAGTATCATTTTTACTCAGGCACTCAGGCAGGGCTGCGGGTGTTGGGGTGGAGGGAAGAGAAGAAGGGGCAGGTAAAGGCTTTCTTCATCCAACTTCCTGCCTTCACTCTCCCTTTCAGCTCAGTGCTTGTAGAGCCAGCCTGTGGCATGTGCTAGGGACCTCAGTGTTCCTGAGGGAAGATACTGAGATGCTTGCCATGGAACTCTGACCCTGGTCAAGGCTGTCAGACTGAGTGGGGAGGAAAAGAATTTAGAAAATTGAGAAATGGGTGCTGCTGTCCCGCCATCTCAGGCTCTCAGGCTGACAGTGAGAGGTGGGGGAATGGCTGCAAGTCTGAGTGCCATGTACGGAGGCCGGGCATCTGGACCCCAGCAAGCCCCAGTAGCCTGCACTTTCCTTGACAGAAGGGCTGGGGCCACAGATGGGAGGACATCTTGCCTTAACCTTCCCGCAGCCCCTGGATCTCACCCTGAGCTGGAAAGGGCCGTTATTCCTTGGCTTCCACATGGTCCAGCTCCCTTCCCAGCAAAGATTGGGGCGGCTATCTGTTACAGATTCCTGAGCTTTGCCTGGTCTGTCTCCCAGAGAGCTCTCCCTCCAGCCCTCTGGCCCATGGGGAACGCCTGCTGCCTTGATCCATGTGTGGTGCAGACAACAGCCTGGGAGAAACCTGGGTTGTGGTGAGACCTAAACCCGGGATGCTTGCAGTTAGCTGCTTTCTCTGATCTGCCCCATCCAACCTCCTGAAGTGCTCATGGTGTGGGTCTGGGAGATTGGCGCTCCAGGAATGAATGGGCCCTCTGGGCACTGAAGAGGCCACACCCCCTGGATGCTCAGTGCGGCAGATGCTGGCCACGCCCCCTGCCTGCCAGGCCTCTGAGGACACCTGTCCCGTCTCTGGTGCAGGGCAGCTATGGTCTTACAGGCCACTGGCTTGTCCCTGCTGAGGGCTGTGGGTCATTGTCCCCCATTTGGAGGTCTTGGGTGCCACTGCAATGTCCCATTACTTCCTGTGGCTTGTTGTTAAATATGCTGATAATGCAAGTTTGGAGTATACAGTCAATGTTTCCAGCTCCTGACTCTTGGTATTAGTGGTACCCCTGGGACATCCTCCAGTTTGGAATGTTTCTGGCAGATTCTGAAGTAGCAACCACAGCCCATCTCCCCTGGTCTCTTCTCAGTGCTGGCTATTCCCCTTCCATACCCAGATCCAAATCTTTCCAAGAGTGGGTGGGTGGGAGGTGGGGTAGTGACTCGCACGCCAGCACTTGGCTGCCCCTCTGTGGCCAGTGAGGGCAAGAACACCACTCCACTCAGTTGATAACATGGGGGGCTCTGATCACAGTCTGGCCAGAGCTTGTGCCTCAAAATGAGGGGATTTTGTGGACGTGTGCACTGAATTCTACATTGTGAACTTCCCTGAACCTCACTCTTTTAATCCATGAAATGGAGGTAACAATGTCATGAGGATCAAATATGGAGTATGCTTGTCTGTAGACAAAAGGCTTTCTACACTGCAATTATCATGTGACGTTGTTATTGTTAGTTTTTCTCCAAAGCTGGCCATCCCCAGAGGAGAGGTGTAGAACCACCCACCCAGTTCCTGGGAACGCTTCGTTTATTCATCTTTTCCATGAGTGTTTAGTGAGTGACTGCTCTGTGCTGGGCAGGTCCCCGGGGCTGGGGATGAGATGAATAAGACAGAGGTCCTGCCCTCAGGGAGCTCACACTCCTGTAAAGAGCACTGTTCACAAGACTGAAGTTAACACTGGCAATAAGAAGTGTCCAGCGTTGACAGAGCCAAGAGTAAAGAGTGACTGGCTTGGCTTGTAGAGGTGGTGGCCATACTGAACGGGCATTTATGGGGCAAAGAAGGGGAGGAAGAATGTTCTGGGCAGAGGCACAGAAGGGTGTAGGGTTGGAGGTGCCCTTGAAGCAGGTAGGTAGAATGGAGTGTGAATGGATGTGAGACCAGAGGGGTAGCAGCCTGATAGGGAGTGGAATTTACCCTGGGGGCAGTGAGGTGTCTGGAGGGTTTTAAGCCAGGAATTGACATGGTAAGATCTGAATTTTAGGGAATTAGGGGTAAATCTGTGGGTGGGAGTAGGCTAGAGGTAGAGAGCCAGCCAGGAGGCTGTGGTCCAAATCCGGCAAAGATGATGGTGGCCTGGACTAGGATGGAAAGAAAGGGAACAGATCCAAGCGATGTTTGGGATTC